GACGTCATATATCAACTAATAAAATCCGCTCGGCAATGTAAGCCACCTTAAAAAAAAAAAAAAAAAAAAAAAAAAAAGAAATTTTACTTCTTCAAGAAAAATATATTTTTTCAAATTCTTCGAATTCTCAAACTATACAAACAACACTTCCTCACTCTATTCAACGTAGAAATACTACAAGAATTCGCAATATAAAATGTGGTATACAAAAGGTATAAAAATATAATAATAATATTTAGATAAATTATATCAATTAACTAATAATTAAAAAAATATTTTTTATTAATAAGAATGTAGAAAATATTGATCTAGTGAATTTGCCTCAAAAACATAAGCATATAAATAACACTCAAGAAACATTAGAGACAATATTTTTTGAGTAAAGTGTTGCCTGGAAACTACACGCATTTACTAATTTTTGTATTAGCAAAAATATTCACTTATTTGATGATCCTGTAGTGAATAATAGGCTAATTTATAGTTGGATTAGTAGATGCAAATATAAAGCCAAATAAGACAAAAAAGTACCAGAAGAAGAATTATATAAATAAATACAATATATCAATTATGTTATATTATAGATATATATGTAGTAAATAAATAAAGTTAATGTAAAGCTACATTCTACTTATTCGCATAATTAAGTCTTTTACTTATACTCTAATAGTTACAATATTTTTATTGTTAACAAGAAATACTTATATCATATTAATATATAAAATGAAATATGCAATTTTCTTTTTCTTAATACAATATATAAAAACTATTATAACATATAATCAATAACAATATTCTTGATAGTATAATCTGGTCAACTATAAGGTTTAATTAATTGGAATTATCTTCTACAATTATATATTCTAATAGTTATATTATACCTACTTCACTACACTAATATTATTACTTTCAATAATATTTGATTAACTTAGAAATGTGAAAATAATAGAGCTTACTAGTATAGTAACTTAAAAATTAATCAAAAAGTTATAAGACTAGCGAGTAAAAAAGTTTCAAATAAATGAGAAAGAATGCAAGTATTGGCAAAATTTAATAATACAGTAAAAGAAATAGAGAGGTACTGATTTAATTGATATAGTAATGAATTTGGCAATACGTGAAGGTGTTAGAATAAGAATAGTGAATTAGAGATGGACAATGAAATCTTGCTAGAAAATTAGATCATTCCTAATTTAAGAATAGGTTTAATAAGAGAAAGTATTAGTGTTGCTATAATTATTAGCCTAGCGTTGACTAATTAAAATTCTATTTATAATTATTATTCTTATATTTACCTTTGCAATTATACTATTATAACTGTATTCTTGTAAATGACACATCATATATCATAGAGATGAATAAAAAAGCATATAGTACAAATCAAATATAAGGCTATACAAAGTTAATTTTTCATTTCACATTACTCACCACCCAATTTTTTCAATTTCTTAGATTTTTTTTTTTTTTTTTATAGTTCTAATTGTAACAATTATTCCATTTTTGCTGTTTATTTTTTACAAAATTATCTGATAGGAGAAACAGACTTTGGGCTTTTAAATTTATAAATTACTAGACTAAAACATGTTGGCAACTAATAAATTTGTAAGCCCAAAGTTTGGTTTGTTTTTGGTGATATTTATATTAAAAAAAAGAAAATTATAAAAAAAAAAAAAAAAAAAAAATCTGCTCGCTGCCCAAGTTTTAGGATTTCATGTAATATGAAACAAAAAATCAACTTTGCATAGCCTAATCCTTTTCAGTCTTGATAATTGTAGTAATTTGAGTATTCAGTTGTTTTAGTTCTTAATTTTCGATGTTAATAAGCATATTTAATCTAATTCTATTTTAAGTTTACATTGATATCTTTTTAGTGATTTTTCATATGATGTTCATTAAATTATTAAAAGCTAGTCTCAAAATAAATGCATATTCTTGGTTTGATATTTTTTTATTTGTAAAGTATAATTAAAGAATACGATAAATTCAGTTATAATTTGTTCAAGATTTATATGTATAGTTCTTTTATACGAGTTTTATTTATTCTTAAAAATTTTAATTTTTTCAATATGCAAGAAATACAGGTACTACAATAATTCATATTTCTATTAGCTAATTTATAGATTTTGAGACAGGAGAAGTTAGTTCAAGTTCGATATAAATATACTATATTTATTCTTTATTCTGATTGGCTAATTTATAATTTTTTTTTAGGGTCAGAAATTTAAAGATAGAAACATGATCTAAGTGGGTCAGGGTCAATGTTTTTGCGTTTCTCTGACTTTGAAAATTATACAACTTCTGATTCTACAACAACTAAACTTGAAGATTTAAGTGATAGTGAATCTGAAATGCAAAACAATATAAATATCAATACAAATAACAACAATATGAACCAATAGCAGGTATTTACTCAAGCTATTCAAGCCTTAACAAACCAACTTGCTATTCAAAATAATATACCTATGCCAACATTTATAGGAGGATTACAGAATCTTGTAGAATGGCTTGAAGATTTTGAATAGTATGCAACTATTAACCAATATACAGATGAATATAAGTAATTGGTTGTAGGAGGGTACTTACAAAATGAAGCTTAAGTTTGGCATACCTATATTAGTGGAAATACTAGAACTAACTTTTAATCTTGGTCTAATAATTTAAATCGAAACTTCAAAAATCTTTTTTTAAACAAATTTCGTACTCAAGGAAAACTTTTACAATGGAGAAGTAAATTACAAAATCGAGTTCAAGGACCTTTGAATCTGTTGACTAGTATGCTTTAGATATTAAATGTCTAATTAAACGTATTGATTATCAAAATAATTGGGCTGAAAGTGATAAAGTTTATAACTTTACTAAAGGACTTTGACGTGAAATTGCTTTTCAATTAAAACTACATCTTATATTTCACAATAATGTTACTATGGAACAGGCTATTGAAGCAGCTTGACAAATGGAGAAAAATAATATAGCTTATCCTAAAGCTATAAATAGATTTTGCCAACCAAGTATAAACTTCATTCCAGTAACTCAAAACTATAATCCTACTGTACAACAAAACAATAATAATACTGACTTAAATCAATTTCTCAATGGACTAATTCAAGCTCTTAGAAATGTTAACTTAAATAATACAAACCAACCTTCTAATAATTATAGAGGTCCTAATAATCAAAATTGTCAAAATAATTATCAGCCTAGAAATAATAACTATGATAATAATAATAATAATAGACATTGTAATCAACAAAATATACCTACTTGTTATAAATGTAGACAACAAGGACATATCTCTTGGCATTGTCCTTTGAATGATAACAATATTCAAAATAATCAAGTACAAAATACTCCACAAAATATGCTAGGAATAAACCAACCCAATCTTCAACCACAAGTCCAAACTGCTCAACAACAAATACCTCAAACTCAACAAACCCAAAATCCTGTTAATAATACTATTCCTAACCAACATAATTTTGCTCAATTGAATCAACCCCAACAACGTCAACCTGATAACCAAATATTTGTATTAATTAATGAACAAGTTAATATGCAACCTGAACAAAATATTTTTCTATCAGAGCATTTAAACTACCAAATATACTCTTAGAGGGTAGAAGTATGTCTTTTGATAAAAACTCCTCGTTTATAGGAGAAGAAGTGGATAAGTTGAATCAAGCATATGGAAAGAAAAGAAGAACTAAAGCTGATAAAATAGATACTGACCAACCCGAACAGTCAAATAAAACAATTGAAAAATGTAAGGAAAAGGTTATAACTGGTAAACCTCCTGAAGGCAAAAAGGCTAAAAGAAAGTTAGTATTCTCTGAGAAACCTCTAATTAAACAAAAAACAATGCTGTATTCTATTATGTCTAATCTATTACACTCTAGATCAAATATAACAATTGCTCAGCTTTTAACCATTCCTTAGTATAGGAATGAGTTAAGAAAATCTCTAATTCCCAAACAAGCAAAAAGATTAATTAAAAGAAATATAGAAAAACAAACTGTTCTTGACAAAACTATCTCTGGAAATACTTCTATGATTTGTAAAGGACAGGTTTTTGGATGGACTGTAAAAATAATATTTAAAAGGTTTATGGAATATATCAATCATAAACCAAATAGGATATCTGAAAGGATGATAATGGGTATTCATGACAACAAAAGATTAAGTGAAGGAATAGTAGATGATATACCTGTTCATTTGGGTGATATAGTTGTTTCTGCTGATAGGGAAGTAATTGATACTAACACCTATAATTTGGTTCTTAGCAATGACTAACTACATAAAGCAAAAGCTATCATTAACTTTAATCATCTAAAATTACTGTTAGTGATAGTAATAGAATAGCTGAAATCCCTTGTCACAACACAACTCAAATAATAATAGAAATGAAAATGATAATAATAATGATGATAACAATTATGATAATGATAATAATAATGAGGATGATGATAATGAGGATGATGATGATGATGAGAATAATGATGAAATAAATGAGAAAGAAGATTTTATTACAAGTTATAGTTTGGTTGTTTCAAAAGATGAAAGTCCTGACCAACATTTTTATTGAATAAGCCTAACTAGAATTGAAATTGATAATGAATCCTACTTTTAAGAAAAGTATAAACACTTTGAATATTAATTTCATCCTTTATATACCAGCCAACAGAATCAATCTAAACATACAAATTGGTTCTCTAGACCAAACAAAGAATGTTGGTATAGAAAAATACTCTTAAATTCTACTGATATTTGTGAACAATGTTATAATCAATACAAATGTTAGAAGACTTTACAAATAATTCCTCTTAAAGAAATTCAAAGAGCTTAGTTATTTTTGGTACAAGGTAGTTCTAAGGAGTTAGAAAATAATGAAAATAAGGAACATATTAAGCAGATTATAACTAAATTTTCTCAAATTGTTGCAAAAGACATTGATTAGTTAGAAAAAACAGAAATAGTTAAACATAAAATCAATACTGGAAATGCCTCTTCTATTAAACAACATCCCTATAAGATATCAAGAAAGAGTTAAATAGATTACTTCAACAAGGACTCATTAAAGTTTCTTATAGTCCTTGGACCTCTCTTGCATTGTTTGTTGGTAAAGCTAATGGAAAGTTTAGACTTGTAATTAATTATTGTCAATTGAATAAAGTAACTAAACCAGATACATATCCCCTACCTCATATTGCTGATATGATTGATGCTTTGGCTCATAGTCAATACTTTTCAACTCTTGATCTCACTTCTAGATTCTGGCAAATAGAAATGGAACCTGTTGACCAAGAGAAAACTGCCTTTAGTACTAAGTTTGGTACATATGAGTTTACAGTAATGCTGTTTGGATTAATGAATGTACCTGCAACTTTTCAAT